TCTTCAACACCAGAATGAATAACAAATGAATGCTACTAGTGAGTTATGATATATTGCAATAATAAATATACTGCTGAAACTCAAGTCACACTTCTTAGTCAGGAAGAATTTTTCCTTATGTATTCACCATATAGAAAAAGCTTAAAACAAAGTTGTCAATTTTAATGAGGTCTATTATATTTTTGAGTTGCTTCTAAGAAAATCTGCATATTCATGCTCCAGTCCTTTTGATTATTACATTTTATAACCTTACATCTTCATCATGTGGGTACCATTCCTGGATATCTTGGTCTAAACTCCTGGCCAAGAGATGTGCTGTTCTGACTACGGATTTTTGTGGTTTTCCTCAGTCCATCCAGGCAAATTCTAGGATATTACCTAAAATTAAGCTACCACCACTGCCTTCATATTCATTATTCCCTAGTAATCCTACAATTCAAAACTATAAGTCTGAAAATATAACAGGATTATTAAATAAAGGATAAAAAAATAAAATTAATGAATAAATAAGTAAATAAATAAGGCATCATGTAGTCTGATAGATGGGTACCAATATTCCTCTGAAATGTTGATATCCATCTACAAAATTTCATGTTGTCAAAGTCCAGAAGACTATAGTATCAGTCTTTGCAACCTAAAAATCTCAAATTTATAAATGAAAAAAGTTGACTTAAACTTAATATACAGCACAGTTCGTATCTGCTTCATACAAACGAAATTTAGATTTTAGTCGAGATCCCCAGCACCAAATTTTATCAAAAAGCGATTAGTAGTTCTGATCTTTTAAGGAAGGCTGGAAATGTGGTCACACATGAGTAGACACAGTATGCTTAATTCCAGGGCGCTTCATTTTCAAGAAGCTATTTCCAGTGCCCTAAGATACCATAAATATAATTGCGAAAAATTGTATATTTAGGAACAAATTCACACGTCTACATTGTCAGAGATTACTTCTAATGTGCGTTAGTCGTTCCCTTGGCTTTCCTACTTGTCTGGCGCATTTATCTACTTCCAAAATGCCATTTCTGTCCCTAGATTTGAGATAAACATGGCCTGACATGATATTACTTAAATCAACATATATAATTGACTTCTTCCATCTTCGTGTTTTAGTTAAAGATAAGGCAAAAAGTATGAAACCTATTCTTCAGGTAGATTCTAAACAATTCTGACAAAGGTGTATAACACTTCGAATTACTGAGTGTTTGGACTTTATTCATCGTTCTGTATTCTAAAAAATTAGAAACCTGTTTTTGAACCTGGAGCTGTTACCAGAACGTTGTATTCTCTAGTTTTTAGAATACCAGATGAACAAGGTGCAAAAACTCAGTAATTCTGACCATTCTGCTGGGTTTGTTATGCAGAACTTATCTCTATACCGGGAGACAGATATGATCCATCTAATAGATCCAATAGACCAGGTTTCACACTTTTATCTTATCATGGAAGCAAGTGCAGCTTCCAATTCATCACGTTTCTTTAAGTGAAACAACAAGATGGAAAATGTCCAGCATATTTGTCGGTATGAAAACACATCTTTTGTTACAAACCTTTAGACTTATCTTGTGAAATGACTTCATTATGCAACCGTTAAGTACTTTGTGCAAACAACATATAACAACTATATACCATTTCCTCCATTTCAATATAAAACCGCTTTATTATATAGGAAAACACAGTAGGGTCAATATCATACAAGTGCCTTCAGCAGCCCAGAGCAGAAAGTTGGAACCACTCTAAACTGGCATTGCAGCAACACAAAAACTAAGATAATGCATGTGATACTGTGAGGTTAACGTGCCAGGTTAGGACAAATCAGACATATAGTTACCAGTTTTTTTAGGGAATCTACGCCCTCTGTCTTCAGGGTAAATGGAGGTACCAGGTTCCTCCAAAATGTTGGTAATTATCTACCAGACTACATATTGTCACATTCAAGAAGACAGAAATCTCCAACATTTCAGATAATAATATTAATTTCCTATTTCACGATTTTGCTCACTAGAATATCAACTTTGCTAACATTAACAATACTCTTCCCCTTTCACCCATATAGACTCCCACACGATATTATTTTGGTTTTGAACTGAATTCCATCATAACACTTATCTTACAGGCATCTTTGTGCACTCCAATATTGAGCTGCATTTGTTATTACACTACGGATCCATAAAATCAAATATCTTGTTTTCTTTCTCATTCACATTTCTTCTTCCTTCAGTTTATTTATAACACCATTTGTTAGCTTGAGAAATGTTTACTTCCTGCCATCCATATTTATTTGAAATTTGAATGCAAAACTGACATCTTTAACGTTTCATTCTGTGTCACCTGATGTACTGGCTGAGCAATAATTTTCAATTAACATTTACAAAATTTAGGACACCCTGAAATTTCTTAGTATTCCATCAAAACTACAATTCATAGTTTGAAATATGGTGTTGTAGGTCCTGACGTACCTTCTTTTTAGTAACAATATAAACTGGAATTTTATATATAGATGTATAATGACAATGACAGTTGTATGATGATAGCATGAAGATAAACATAACTCATGACTTATCATGGAAAGGCATCCATTATTCCTCTTCCCTTGTCCATGGACAGCAGAATCAAATCAACACAAAATAATCATGAAAACGTACCATTTAGTAGTATAGTACTTATATTTTACTTGTTATTTTTGCATTTCACTTTCTTTTCTATGACTCTTTGAATTTTATAAATAACAATTTTACTTCATGCAGACACATATGTTACAAACATTTCCAGTTCCTTGTACATGAAACTATTGACAATAACATGAACAAATGTAGCAATCATATGCACTATACAAAATGCTTTTCTTGGCAAGGTAAAAGTTAAAACATATTTTGAAAAAAAAAAAAGTCTGACATTCCACAGTGATGACAGCAATATAAGCACCTTAAATTGTCTTGAATACGATGGGGCAATGAAATACCAAATAGTTTCTGTTCAAGTTTCTTAACAGTTTGTACTAACACTGTTAGGGCAGAATCTGAAATGTCTCATTCAGTTTGAAAGTATGAGTTTGCTTCTATATTTTTGAACCATTAAGTAAGTTTTAGTCATAAGTTTGTTTATTATGTTTTTCTTTGTTTTTATTTGTTCCTAAATTCTAGAAATGACATTGAAAATTAAAACATTCCCAACAGCTAATGTAGATTAGTATTGTTGAAGATCATAATGATCTTCCATCAACAATGAATGTTGTAGTACACATTGCTTTTCAATGATTTGTTACCGAATCTCTGAAGGAAGCCTACTATGACAAATATCTTCATGTATGTAGGTATAACATGATATTGATAAAAATACTGTGTTAAAAGTTGTGCTCAGTTAGATTGCTACATGCAAAGATGATTACTGTTATGATAGAAAGTATGCTGAAAGACAGAACATGCAAAATAGCTGCCAATAGGAAGTAAAATTTTTTAATGTACTGTAACAGCCAATTCTGAGTTTGTAAAAATAACACATAAATTAAAATTATTAAGAGGATAAAATATCACCCACTGTAATAAAATGATCTGATATGCATATTGTAACGTGTTTACTCGTTACTGACCCCACTTCTGACACCAGTGTAACGTGTTTTGCGTTACCGAAGACGCCGTAGAGCTCGTTAACTGGTTTATTTGACAATCTCTCAATATCGGCTACAATTACTTATCACACAGTTGCGGGGTTTCACACTTTATAACCCTAAGCGCATTAATCTGTCGACACTGTTGCGGGGTTTCACGACTTATAACCCTATGCGCAAATCAGTTCACTCTGCCTTCGGTAGTCTGCACGTTGACAGTAGGGGAGCTATGTATCACTGTATCACGCGCTCCCAATTACACAATCGCACACACGTCCGGATCTTCTTACCGCGACGGCTGCTATACTCCAACTTGTAGTCGGCTGGCTGTTACTTTATAACTCGGAATGTCTTCGGCGGTAGCCACACTGGAACTCGAACTCGAACTGATCGATACGCACTGTGCATCCACTTATATAGCTGCAGTGCTTGCCTGTGGCGTAATGAGTGCCACGTCACAGTAGGACGTTGATTACGGTTACGTTAGCGTTGCGCGTTACGTCACCGCGTGACGTCACCGCGGAGGGGAGTGGCGGGGAGCGCTACGTTACCGTGGAGAGGAGAGAGGAGGGGGGTTCTCAGTCGCGCAACATGTTACAATATTTATGGCAGTTAATACAAACATGATTATTACCTTTCTATGAAATATTATACTGTGTAAAATCTCTCTGGTTTTAAGCATCAGTTACACATAGTAAAGCTGTCAGGTTGGGAATGTGTGACTTAAATTCATAATCAAGGAGATATTATTCTAATTAGTGGCTGGTTGCATTGAGAAACCAATTTTTAATTGAAATGCACACAATACTATTCTTATAGCAGTGAATATGTCCGGATATGTGGAGGTTGACCAATGTCATTAAAATCTTTCTACAGTAGTCTTGGAATAAATTATCTCACACCCAATTTGTAATGAAATATAACCACATCCTACACTGCAACTGCAAAAATTATGTCACTGTTAATTGAGGGTGAACTATGGTCTAAGTTGAATATAAAGAATTAAGTGTTCTTTATTAATTCAGTCCTGTTTCTCTTTCTGCACATGTGGATAATTCATGAGAATTATATTTCATATGATGAGGGCCTGCTTTTTATTTAAAGGTATCTAGATTGAATTTTACTCATACACATTTTCTGTTTCTTTCTTTAGGACACTGCTGAAATATAATCTCATTCACAGTTTGTAAATCTGTGACCAGGTATGTAATCCACTGCATGTAAGGTCGCACCATTGCTCAATCGGTTAGTCGCTGGCTTCCCACTGCGGCGGCCCGGGTTCGATCCTGGGGCTGGTCAAGTGGGATTTGTGATGGACAAAGTGGCGCTGGGGTGGATTTTCTCCGAGTACTTCGATTTCCCCTGCCAATCTTCATTCCACCAAATTCTCCATCATCATAATAACCCTGGGCAGGTACAATAGGCTGCCATGCCGAGTGAACCCAGGTGGACTCCACCCCACACTAAGCCAATCCACTGCATGTAACTGCGCACATATACCTGCAGTTAATGCAAAGCTTGTAATACCTGTGGTTTACATGCTATGTTTTCATTCTTAGTTTTAACAAGGCTTGTTTCAAATAAGGATAGCCTTTGACAAGCAAAATGTTAATAGGGTTTCACAAATGTTCCAATAGCAACTAATCTCTTATTCAGTAAAAATGATAAGAAAGCCATGTCAAACATTTTTCAAGTCTGGGAGCTATACAGGTATGCCAACAATCAATGAAGAAAACTTTCTGATTATGAAGAAACTTTTTCTCTTTTAGTTGAGTTAAATGTAGCATCAAAATATCGTAGTACAGAACAGAAATAAACACATTATAGACAGCTATGGAACATCTCATAATTTCAACACCAATGAAAACTTCAGAACTCAACAGAGAGCAGCTAAATTTGTATAGATGTTGCATCTTTATTCACTTACTCAAACAATAATTATATATAAATGATTCCATTTTTGGCACAAAAAGAAGATTTAATGAAAAATTTAAATGTAATTTTACAGTCCTAAGGGGTCCTGATAATGATACATTACACTTGGGATTACTCATCTTCTTGACTTTTTCCATCACCTGTTATAAGAACATTTCAGAAACTGGACCAATTTTTGCAGGCAAATGAAAAGTAGGGGAGATGCCTACTCTCTGGTCCAATGATTGAGATTATCTCTTTTTGATGAACTAGAACAAGTAGTTGCTCCCTAGCTTTCCATCTATTAACAGAACTAGATCTACCATGCAAAACATAATGTCATGTTCACAGAATTATACACTGGAAAGAAACACATTAATCATAAGTGTAATTTTCAATAAAAATTATCTGTTATATGCAGACCAGCCAACATGACTAACATTTCCTCTTTTATGTCTGTGATATGAAGAAACTTAATTCAGTCTTATATAACTGGTAGTTGGCTCGGAATCATCTAAAATTCCACACAGTTTGCAACAATTGTAGGAAATGATGTACACAAGTCACGTGTTCTATTTACACATTGTGTGACTTTATCTATTTATATTCTGGCATTGTCACTGGTGCCACAAAACAATATAACACTTAGAATGATATGAAGTTTTCTGATACCGATATCATTCGTATACGATTATTACACATACCACTCTTTAACATCCTTCACGTCACATTTCTTAGTGGCTTTATTTCCGAACTTGTCACTACCGTTCTTAAGATTTCCATTCATCTGCTGTGGACGTTGCCGGCCATTACCTGCTCCAAGGAGAGCAGTGTTAGGTCCTTGTGACTGTTGATAATTCTTGCTCTCATCAACTTTATACGAATGATCTGATCGACCCTTAAATTTGAGGATGAGAAGTATGATAAGTATGATGGCTATCATAGCTCCTGCTATGATTCCGATGATGAGAGCTGTTTTTTCAGCTGCCTCAGAGGTGATGTGCTCTTGACCTTTGCGTCTAGGTGGCCTTGGTGTAAGAGGGATTATCACAGGGGGCAGTGGTGGTTCCGTGCTGGTGGTGGAAGTGCTAATGGTGCCAGAACTGCTACCTGTTGTTGATGATGATCCACTGCTAAAGTTGTCTGGTGTGCTGTAGCCATTTGTAGACGATGGAGACATACTTGGACCAGCACTGACACCACTACTTGGGACTAATCCAGGAGGAATTTCTGATGTACTGGAATCTGTTGGTTCACGCTTGGAAGTTCCATCTGGGATTGTGCTGCTATGAGGTGGTGATACTGTGAAGGAAGTACTATTGTTTCCTTATGTGGCACATAATGTAAGTACTATGAAGCATTAACAGCAGACTCAGCTCAATGGTTTGCATTCAAGCTATTTTATAAGATAATACAGCATTAGTACAAATAGCATTACATTTTAATGGGTTTTGCACAAGTCCCATTTAAAAATAATAAAGAAAAGGAGGGGAGAGAGACAGCAGGAGGAGGATGTAAGTAAAATAGTTAGTTACACAGCTCAACAAATTTTCATTTTCTTCTGAAAACATTGTCAGAATATACTATTTTTGACTAAAAAAGGTATCCTGATATTTGAAAATGTTGCTCAGAAAACTGTAAAAGTACAGTGTCCTTGTTACCCTCCATTATTTCTTGTATGCAAGATACCGTAAATATAACCTATTATGCAATTTTAAATATTCACGTTATTAAAATGAGAATAAAATTTATTCACAAACGAAACTTAATTAATATTATGGTTGACATAAATTACGTGTATACAAACACTAAGAACAACACAAAATAGAAAAATGCACTGTTTAGGCTCAAAATTCAATAAAAAACTGTCACATGAGGGGAAATTTTTGTACCCACATTCAAAATCAGAATATGAGAATTACCTGAAAAAGTCCTTTTATGTTACCAAAATCTTTTTGACTAATGTAATGTGAATAGATAATTGGTGTTAATATTTTGGTTCCATTTAATATGTTTCCTGATCTGAACATCAGAAAAAAGCATTTTCAACTTGCAATAGAGAAACTGCTAACTTTGGTTGGGTTTCTTAGTTACTTCTGGAACCTATCATATTAAGCAGATAGTCTTCACTATCATCTTCACTAAAACTTATAAAATTTAACAGCGGAGTCACTAACATGAAATGCCTTTATACATAACAATACTTAACTATTATAAAACTGTTTCCATTTTTATTCCTGTAAGCTTAGTCCCAATTTAAAAATCTTGAAATATATTCTTTCTGCTCCAACCAAATTAACACACTGATCATCATGCATAGTAAATTGTTCTTCAGACATCAATGCATTTAGATCTGAAACAAATATCTGTATCTCGCCATTTTATTGAAATAAACTTTTCTCAGGAACCCCAATGAAAATGGTCATGTGTATTTGTGAAAAGTTATTTATGCTATATGTGATGTTTAAAATGAAGCAGTGCATCACAAGTACATCCATCAGACAATTTCAAAATGAACAAATGAGGAAAGGCTTATTTATCTGTTATCTTTGCCAGTGGTTATATATGTCCGATTAGCTTTTGAAAACTCACTTTCACAGTTACAAATATAAATCACTCCATCCAATGTGACCTGTAAGTTTTTTACTCCATGGAAACTTAACACCCTTACATGTTTCGGTCTCTGTGGACCATCTTCAGAGGGCAAACATCACATAAGTTTTTACACGTAAAGTACGTATAATTATATGCTACAACACAAAGAACACTAGATAGAACATTTCACAAACACAGCAGTTTCCTGAGAATGTAAAGTTTTTTAAAAAATTGTATACAATTTCTTGATGCCAATCAAAAGTTTTTTGGATAGTCAATAATTAAAATTTGTAACAGTGAAAACAGCACAGCAGCCACGAGCAAACCCTGGACGATATAAAGAACCTCCACATCAAGATAGCCAGGTGGCACAATATCTGCCCCATATAAGAGGGACGATGGGAGGACGAACACGAGCCTGCATGGTTTACGAATTTTAATTATTGACAATCCAAAAAACTTTTAATTGGCATCAAGAAATTTTATACAATTTTTTAAAAAACTTTACATTCCCAGGAAACTGCTGTGTTTGTGAAATGTTCTATCTAGTGTTCTTTTTGTTGTAGCATATAATTGTACGTACTTTATGTGTAAAAACTTATGTGATGGTGGTTTCCTATTTGTAGTGATGTTTGCCCTCTGAAGATGGTCCACAGAGACCGAAACATGTAAGGGTGTTAAGCTTTCATGGAGTAAAAAACTTACAGGTCACATTGGACAGAGTGATTTATATTTGTAACTGTTAGTGTGACAGACCAGAATGAAACAAATCAAACTCACTTTCACAGTATTATAAATTAAATGCAATTACTTTTTAGTAAGCAAATGAACTATTACATTCCAAAAATTGCAATCTTCTTCGATCCTAACACCAATACAAAAAACAAAACATGCTTTTGTGTAATTGTAACTTCAGGTGTTTAGCCACATTGTGCATTAAATTTGTTCCAATGTTTTAAGCATACACTTGACCCACCATCTTCAGGGTGAATGAAGCAGAAGGAGAATGTAATTCAATGGATGTAATGGCAGGAATGTGGGATTTGAAACTCTACAATGGGAAGAGTATGTGATCCAACGTAAAATTCTCACAATAGGAGTTAGGGTGGGGGTATGGAATGTGGTTCTATCTGGTGGAAAGGGATTGAATGATCAGGAAGAAAATTTGGAAGAAAAGTGGTGGATATGCCAAAACTTTTTCAGCTTCAAGACACGATACAGCTAAACTGCGAAAACAAAAATTATGCATTAGACACAGGACCCCAAACCTAAGGATGATATTTTGTAGCAATCCATACCAGTGTGTTATCCCCTCTGGCTCATGCTCCATTCAGTTGTTCCCTCACACTGGGGCACGTTGTATACAGTTAAGCTTACCCTTTTCAGGAGTTCCTGTATTGTTATCCTCTGTGGTGATCTCACCTGACCCAGAGCCTGTCACGCAGTCCTCATCATCACACTGCGTACTTGGGGTCACCTTGGGAGTTGTGGCTGGAGGTCTTGTAGGAGGAACATACACTGGTGTAATAAGGTCATCTCCTATACACAAACAGCAATAATCAATTTTAGCCAAGAAAATTTTGCCAGGATTTTCAGGTACAAAGTATATCTATCAGCACAATTTGACAAGTAAGTGAGAGCTGAGGTTTTCATGGCAGTGAATATGAACATTACTGTCTTATGGGTTGTGATGCCATGTAGTATGGTAGAAAGTTACCAAAATTTGCCTCCATCTTCAAGGTTCTACCTCAAAAATGGAGGCAGTAAATATCATTGAAATATTTAACAACTTTCTACCTTGTCACTACTTGCAGGAAATTAAAAGGTATGATGTTCAAATGGTATTCATTGACATGATGTTCATACCATGTTTCGTGAAAACTGGTCAGCTGGTTTAGGAGTAGACATACAAACACACAAAGACAGCATGGTGATCAATTAGACTGTTTTATTTCCTTAAGAAACTAGAGTAGGCTAAAAAGGATGAAAATATGTTGTGTTGTAGACATATCAGCACAACAGAGCTAATCTTCTCATAAACTAATCACTTAAAACTATTTCTAAATAAATTCTTCTTTTTGGCATTTGTGTTTTCTTTCCATCTCCATATGGCATCTACTGAAGAGTTAACACATTTTTTTAAACAATGATATATCACATGATGTAAGTGGACAGTGTTCCTTTCATATACAGACTAAGCTGATTATTTAACTAATTTAGTACATGATAAAAAACAGTTTATAAATGAAATAAGAGACGTCCTAATACATAATCCATCATATACTGTTGATGAATTTTTGCTCTTCTGTCGGGATCAACCGCTAAGGAATACAAGGGGAGTGCATGCTGACTGATGGATGTCGCACAGTAGGCATGGTTATACACATTAAGTGTAAGTTAAGGAAGGAGAATTATTATGTATTGCTAATTATCTTGTTGGTATAATTCTATGTGTAACATTGTATCTATTTAATTGAGGCATTCAGTTTAGATTTTAACTGTGGTCGAATTGCTGTCTCTGCGATTTTATCTGTGATTGTCTTGTGACTGTTGTTTGACAAGTTTTATATTCAGTGCCAGTTGCACACTTGTGAATACTCTGAAACGCTGGTGTGTGTGTGTGCGTGCGTGCGCGTGCGTGTGCGTGCGCGTGTGTGTGTGTGTGTGTGGCCATTTTCCGCCATATTGTGAGCTATTAGTATCTGATCTTCCGCTCAACGCTTCTAAACTGCATTTTCTTAACTTAACTTTCTGTTAATATAGATTAGTAGTAGAATTAGTAAACATACTTGTTATTTTGTATCTTAAATACGGTGATTTGTATTTTCATAAGTGTACTGGTAGGCCTAACCTACAAGTAGTGTGTTACTTTGTCTTAAGGAAACTGATTTGTATTTTCGTAAGTATACAGTAGGCCTAACCTACAGGGAGTGTGTTATTTTATATCTTAAGGAAGTCGATTTGTATTTTCACAAGTGTTATTTATATCTTACATAAGTTGTTTGTATTTTCGTAAGTGTACAGTAGGCCTAACCTACAAGAAGTGTGTTATTTTATATCTTTAGTAAGTTGATTTGTACTATTGCAAGTGTACCAGTGGGCCTAACCTAAAA